ACTCTTCACTATCATAATCATCATCACCACCACCACCACCATCATCATCATTAGGAGCGGATACATTTTGTTGATAAGGGACGAATGATGATGTAGCACCTCCATATAATAAGGACACTGGAGGTGTATGACTGACTATCCCACCGCTCAAAGAAAACTATGAAAACTGCGAAAAGTCTAACATCGATGAGTTCAAAAATTGTACAGGAGGTGTCTGTGCATGTGGTGAAGCTTCACCCGCTAAATAACCAGCATATGAACCCCAAGTTAGATATGCATGGATGAAAGTATAATATCCGCCAGAAAGGGTCATAAAACTCTGCGGTGGTGGCGGCATTTGGTATGGAAGCGGTGGCGTCTGACCTGGATGCAGTGGCATATGAAATGGCTGTGGTGAAATCTGAAACGGCTGTGGAATGTACAGCGGTATAGATGGTGGCTGCTGTGATGGTTTCGGTGTTGTAGTTGTGGATGAGCCAGAAGTGCATTCTCTCCATCCACGAGTCGAGAAACGATGATGCTGTGACGGAGGACGTCTTTGTCGACATCGATGAATGTTCCCGCCTCGTACTTCATCTGAAAGTAGGAACAATTTCTCATTCATGTTGAACCACTCATAATAATCATCCGCAACCGAGCAATGATTCACGTAAATGGGGGGAATACGCCGACGTCGATCATTCCATATCATTACCCACTCAATCTACTTCACCAGCCAGTTGACTTCTTTTTTGCCCCGTCTATCGATGATATTCAAATCATCGAGATTCTTAGGTGCTTTTGAAATAGATTGTACAAAATTAATTGGTGGAGCATACGATCAGTGGGATGTCATTCGACAATAACATAACATACCTCTATATCAGCCTTCTGATCAATGAGTAGCCTAATTTCTTTCAATTCATCAGGTAAATCCCGATGATCTTTTCTTGCACTTGACCACCTATTCAATGAAATAATTTTTATTATATTCTAAACAAAATTATTTATATACGAAATCAATATTGAAATTACCTCAATAATAGCGAGAAGACCAACGGGGTTTTCACCACCGGACATAAAAAGGGTATACGATACCACGCCCAAGATTGGTGAAGAAAGAGACATCCGTCGATAGTAGTTTTTCTATAGTTAGTAGCTCGACACATTTCTCTATACAGAAATTCCAAAACTGTGGAGCCCCAACTGAGTGTGCCAGCATGATGAAAATCTACGAGGTGACCCAACCACATACAATGAACTTGGTTGTGCGATTTGTTGGGCATCAAGAGCCTTCATATGAGTTGTAGTATGCAAGCCCGTGCATACATTTTAACCTATTCCTCGGAGGCATCGCCACTAAAATGTTTGAAAGTTGTATCCAACCAATTTAATGGAATTCGACCACCGTTGAAATTTGGCAGGACACCTTCAAGATACTCCTCGCATAAGGAATGCCAGTCACCATACGCCACCCCATAAATCACATCCCCATCTACCAGAAGCCCCAAATGCATAGAAACATCCTCCATCATAATTATGCACCCTCCACACAGAATATGAAATATGTGTGTCTCTGTTCTCCACCACTAAACCAATGCAGAAATAAGGTTGGATTCAAGGTTACAGTGCCCTTCATATATTTCTACGTAACCGAATCCAACCTCGACTAAATACGGCTATACACAAGTAGGTATCTCTAACTTAAGGTTATGAATGAATAGATCTAATATACAGTTTCTCTCCTAATTTAATAAATATTATAAAAATTAAAATATAAACTAATACTAAACAAATTAAATAAATAAAACATTAACAATAATTAAAATTACAATAGAATTTAAAATTGTTACCGTATTAGTAAAATGACTCAAGATATGATGTTCATTTAAATGTAACAAACCGTCTTCCATTTTATAACTGCAAAAATTAATTAAAAAAATTAGTATAATAAAATTTAATAAAACAATAAGTTGTTGATTTATTATAATACAATAAAAATATTTTACATTCTTAATAGAAAGATTGATAATCAGAAGAATGAGATAATTTGATATTTGAGTGTGGTTTAGAGGTTGTGTTTAAAGGAAGAAGGGAAGGGGTAGAGGGTTTCTATAAATGTGGGAGGTGGACGGTTGGGATATTAAAGGAAAGACACGAATGGTGATCCGCTTAAAGGCACGGATGGCGATCTAAGTCAGTCTTGACATGTCGCCAGCTCGAATAAGGCGCGGATAGTGATCCGCGCCTTTCATGACGTGGTGTCAGCTCAGACAGAACCCCGCAAAGGCGGATGGCAATCAACGCCTTGTCAGAATGAGTGTTAAATAGATAAAATTAAAAGAAATAAAGTTTCTAAGAGGTTATTATTACCTATACTGGTGATATTTCGGTAAAATCACCACATAACAACATTTACGTGTCAATGGTAAGATTCGGAAAACATGGAGTAGTTGGGACCCATCTCATCCCATACTTAGCAGTGGTTCGTTGCCTTAGATTTGCGAGACACTCCCCATACGCTTCGTTAAGGCCTTAAATGCTGACCACTAACTCCTATGCGCCACTTGTTCATTTTACACAATGCAACCTTAAATTATTTCCAACACTCATCAATGCTTAAAAATACATGTATTTAATTTACATTATTTTTTATTTTCTTTAAAACTCATTAAATTAAAATATACATTATTTTTTAGATTTGTTGATTTTTTTAAATTTGAGTAGTTTGAAGTGTTCGTTTGAAAATTTGAATGGTGAGAGATACACTTTAAAAAAACATAGAACAAATCTTGAAACCGACTTCATCAAATAATTGACGAAGGAGATTGAGTTTTTAGATAGAATTTAATTTAAATTTCATGAAAAATCAATATGATGAGAAGAACAAAGAGGTAGATGCCAACATTTTAGTATTGGTCTTGTTGTAACTGTTGATAACTAAGACTGCTCGACCGTAACAATCAAAAGAGTTAACAAATTTTTATAGAAAACAATGAAAGTAACAACTACATAATAACGTCATTAATGGTTTAGTATGATCATATTATATAAAAAAAATAAACAATCAAATCCATTTAAAAATTGAATTATTTTAGATTTCAGTTCTCACTTACTTTAAGGAGACCCATATAAAATAACAGAAAAACATGTACTAAAAATATAGTTGTTATTATTATTATAAAGGTATAGTTATTGGAGCCAAAGTCTCCCCGAGGAATTTGTCGAATATGGCGTACTTGTTTGCATGTATTTAAGTGAATTGTTTCCATTAGGCCTTAAGCTGCTTGTAAAGTTGGGGCCGCGTCCGAGATAGGAACACCTACCTTCAATTGCTAAAATTTAATTTCTCTCTCTAATATTTGAATATAAAAATTATTCATATCATACACGTATATTTTTAAATTATTTAAGATAATTATAATATAATATCTTTTTAAAAATTTCTTAGTCTATTAACAATATTCATATTCTAGAATTACATTTGCTTGAACCCTAATTTACCAACAAACATCGGGATTTGAATCTTTGATATTACTTAAGAAATCTAATGTGACATCCTACTAGATCAACCGGTTAATAGTATATATTATTAAAATCACTCAATAAATTTTACATCATCCACGTTGTTAAACAACATTATATAATCTTTTAAGTATATAAAAAATAGTATATTTATACTTTATATAAATTCACATCTAATACTATACACAAGTTTATTGCATATACCATATATTTTTATATCATTAAATTGGGGTATAGTTATATAAGTAAGAATGAATCTAAAGGATGCTAAGGAACAATCATATATCAGTGAAAATTTTAAATTCTCATGTAATTTAAGTATTTATTTTATATATTATTGATAATTTAATTTTATACTTTCTGAAATTTTATAAATTCACATCTCCTCCTATATTTATAATTTATAATATAATTTCTTAAATTTGTACTCATAATATATTTTTACGCGTATCACTATACATAATTCGAAAACTTATATATCGACGTCTTGATGTTTTCATATGTTGGAAAATTGAATAATTTTTCAACATATAGGTTGGATATGTTCCAATATGATTTTTTCCACAATGAAATCTATGAGGCTTCAAAACATACTCCATTGACTTTCATTTTATTACAACTTTTCCATCAATTTCTACTAAAAAAATAATTTTCGCGTTATTATTTTTTTTCTAATTTCGTGTTATGCATGTTCAAGGGATGAAAAGTGTAATTCTTTTGGAAAAGATCTCCAAGAAATCATTTTCATCCAATTGGATTAATGATAAAATCCAAGATAAATTTTCGAAACGTTGAATGTGAACAAATTGTATTGTACCATACATATTTGCTTAAGCACTAATAGTGGGGCGATAATCCAAACATGAAATTAAAACAAAACGGCAAACTTGTTGAAATCTTTGCATTAAACACCCAAGTTGAATCTTAAAAAAAATAACACCCAAGTTGAATCTTAAAAAAATAACACCCAAGTTGATAATGTGCACACACTTTACACTCTTGGCTATAAAAAAGAGCACTTGTTCACTCTGTTTTCTTTTAATTTTCTGGTCCCTCTTCTCCTTTATTTTGTCTTTCTGGACCAATTTTCATCAAATACAACCCTTTCTTCTCAAGGCCAAGATTCCAAAGTTACCAAAATTTAGTTAATTTGTGCTGAGTTAAGCAACTGTGAAAAAGCACTGGGTTTTTTTTTTGGAAGATATTTATTCTCTATCTCTTTACAATCCTAAAAAATCCCATCTTTTTTTGCTCTCTCTCTCTATACTACTTGTTTCTTGGGACAACTTTCTTTGAAATTTCTCGTCGTTTGATGAAGCGATTAATGGTGGATTTTTCTTCGTTTCAAGCTTCTCTTTAACGTGTGTTCTTTGTTCGGCTTTCTTTTTCCCTTTATTCTCCTCGTGTCCCGTTGAAGGAATCTCTTTTCTTTATTCTTTCCTTTATTTCACTCAGTTCCCGTGAGGGGAAAAAGAAGAAGCTCAAAACGGAGAAAAATGGATCCTTTTCGGTTTTCTTCAATCAAATACACTCAACACCGCACTGAAACCAAGCTCCTTTCACCGTTCTTCATTGTGGGTCCTCAAAATCACCGACGGAATAAGCCTCGAGTTGTTCGGCACTGTTACAAGCTCCGTGTAAGAAACAGGGTCAAGAAATTCGTCAACGAGATTACCATTGAATCAACCAGTAAGTCGTCTTCTTCCTCGAGAATGAAGGCTCGGAAAAGGGTGGCGGTTAAAGCGCCGGCGGAAAAGAAGTTCAGGGGAGTAAGGCAACGACCTTGGGGGAAATGGGCGGCGGAAATAAGGGACCCGTTAAGACGTATTCGGTTATGGTTAGGCACCTACAATACAGCCGAAGAAGCAGCGATGGTTTATGACAAAGCGGCTATTCAGCTGCGCGGGCACGACGCGCTCACCAACTTCATCACTCCTCTTCCAAGCTCCGGCGAAGAATCTCACAGCAGTTACCTTCGCTCTCCGACGTCCGTTCTCCGCTGCCCTTCGCTTTCGAACGACGAAGTCGACTCTCAGAGCGCGAAACAAACGCCTGGAACCGGAAGCCAAGGTCGAGACTTTGCCGAGGATTCTTGCTGCATGTCGGGTGAAACTGAAAACTTATCGGAATATTCCGAGCTCCGGAGTGACATTTTTAGTTCGGTGCCGGGTTTGTTCGACGATAAGACGAGTTTAGACGAATTCGGGTTTCCGGGAGATTTCGGGTACCCATATTTGAGTTCAGGTGGGGATTTCGAGTTTGTTCCCGAGCTGCCAACTGTCGATGATCATTTCCAAGATATCGGGGATCTATTCTGGTCGGATCGTCCGTTAGCCTTTTGTCCCTTTCTATGTAATGCCGCCTTCACGGTAAGTTTTGTATCCGCGTGAACTGAAAATATCGGATGTTATTATTGTTTATAATTTCTCTTCATTTTTTAGTTAATTTTTATGTTTTTCTTAATAAAAATGAGATTATTAAACATCTTCGTCGCATAATCAAACGAATCCAATAATTAATTAATTATTATTATCTTTTAAAGTATTAAATTTAAAATAAAAAATATTAGAAGTTTATGTACTTTTAAAAAAGAATTAATATGATCTATCAACTTAAAAAATAATTTAATGTGATTATTACGGTACTTATGTGATAATTTTTTTTTAAGTAATAGTCAACTACGGTTCACAATACCAACGTGATATCTCATCTGTCATGTTTGAGTTATTAGTTTAGTTTATCTATCATGTCATCCGCCACTACGTCAACATAATGAACTGTCACGTCAATATCATAACGGTCAAGGATAAAAACATTAGTCAAATGATATTTTTTGAGTTAGGTCACATTAAGAAAAAATAATATAAAAGTCACATTAATTTTTTTAAATATAAAAACCTCTAATATATTTTTATTAAAAATTTAAATATCATGTATATTAATTTTTTTAAAATATATATTATCCTAGGACGTGTTATTGCATGTGACGTAACAATTGGATTTTTTCTTCTTTTTGTTTTACGTTTAAACTGTATTTTCCTGGTATCTTGTTTTTCTCACATTATTTTCTAAACTTATATTTCATCAAATATATTGCTTTCGTTATATTACATTTATTTAAAATTATATCATTTCCCAATTTGATTTTTTTAAAATTATAAAAAAAACAATTAAAATAAAAGAAAATATAAATTACGAAAATGGAAACAATAATGTCACTCCAAACGTTTTATGTCTCATCTTCGTCACTATCTTTAGGGTAAATCATATAATTAGTCACTTTCATTTAAGTTTTACATATTTTTCTCATTAAATTTAAAAAACATAATATTTGGTCATTTTCATTTTTATTTAATTAAGAAAATCATGTTCATTTTTTTTAATTAAGATGTGATCACTTATCTCATCGATATTTAGATGTTTATTCACTAAAATTTTTATAGTCATTAGTGAAAAATAATGAGAAAACTAAAAAACGTAATCACGTAAGTGATCAAAACCCTAAACCCTTTTACTAACAAGTCACATAATCAAATTAATGATATTTAACATCCCATATATAAAACTTAATAAAACTTATGTTTTTTGAATTTTAATGAGCAAAAATTATAAATAAAAAAGATAATTGATCAATCTTGTAGTTTACCCTTTTATTTGCTATATAGATTATAAGAATGAAAAGCGTATAACATATAAAATTATGAACTTGTCAAAATTCAAAATTCAAAAACAAAACCATAGATTTTTAGGGTAAGGATTAGAAAATAATCATCAATCTTACATTTTTAAGTGTATTATTACTTAATTTACACGGTCATTGAATCAAAGACCTATGTTGGCCCAAACGGCCCCAGTCCATGTAAAATTTGTATATATTCGATAAATTTAGTCTAATATTATTTTGGTTCATATAAAAATAAATATTTAAATTAAAAATACAAGAATTTATTAAATATTTAATTAAATAGGAGTCAAACCAAAAATGAATAATCTAATGTTTTTAAGTTTTTTGGTCTGATAACAATCTAGGTCATTGTAAGTTTAAATATTAAACGAATTAAGCATTATCTTATGATTTTATTAATCTGGGGTAAGTACAAGGCAATATATGTTTTGTTTGATAAAAATTTATTAAATATTTAATTAAGTACGAAACAACGCTCACCCCCTTGACATTCTTGGTGCTCGAACTCGAGACCTCAAGGAAAAATAATAAGTTTTTTTACCATCGATGTCATTTGGTTCGTACAAAAGACACGAAAAAGATTTCGCCGTTGCAAATATTTAAAATTTAAATAGCTAATAAGTCATTGTATTTTTTTAATAAAATCTAATATTTTGGTCTCTATCAATATTTAGCCCTGGTTCTGTCCCCGATTAAAATCAAATTTTAAATTCTAAAATCAAAACTTTTAAAAGCTATCAAATGGGGGAAAAAGTAGGATAAGTTATAAATTTCATGTAGCATGTAAAGGCGTAAGTGATTGTTGTTGTTAATTTAGGACGAAAAGTATTGTTAATTTTAATATATCTATATATATTTTTATCCTTTGATCCTATGAGTTGCAAACATTGTAAAATACTCGAGTCACTATGAGTGAAGAACTCAAGGCAAGTGCTTGCTGCAATTATAATCATACAAATTTCAACCCTAATTTTGCAAGAATGTACTTCAAATAATGAGCTAATTCTATTTTTTTTATTAATATTAAATTTATGGTTGAGTTAATTTCACATTAGTTAATATTAAGTTGTATTAGATTTTAGGATAGGGCTTATAGAAGAGACAATGCATGATTTTATATTATTAAAGATAGATTAACGTGAAAGATAATAATTTTTTAAATATAATTTATAGTTTACACTGTGAATAAATGGAACGTTGACCAGACATAACTCATAAGGTGAACCTTCTCCTTTTCATCTACTTCACTAAATATTTTGATGGAACAAATAAAATGACAAAATTTTGCTAAATATTTGAGCAAGAGTATGGAAATATGGTCCCGTAATTGGATGGTGGAGTTTAAATGTAAGAAAATTTTGGTATCAACCATTGCAATAGCAGCAAAGCTTTTCCTCTCGAATGGCACATTTCCCACGGCTAAATTCAACACCGTATTAATTGCCCAATGTCTCGTACTCTTCGTCCCAAAATCCTCTACAACATTCATTAAATGATAAACTGCGCGTTTAGTATTTAGATTATTAATTTTAGTTTATTTTAATATTTTAATTTTTTATATTTTAAATTATATTTAATATTTAATTTTTGTCTCACAATGTCTCGTACTCTTCGTCCCAAATCCTCTACAACATTCATTAAATGATAAACTGCGCGTTTAGTATTTAGATTATTAATTTTAGTTTATTTTAATATTTTAATTTTTTATATTTTAAATTATATTTAATATTTAATTTTTGTCTCATTTTAGTACATCAGTCAAAAATTTAACGATGAGTTTTTTAAAAAAACTGAAAGCTTAAGCAATAAAACGAATCAAAATTAATAGTTTAGATATTAAACATCTTAAATTTTTTAACAATAAAATACTGAAATGAAATAAAACCTAAACATTAAACATAATTTAAAAAAATTAAAAGTTTAAGTACTAAAACTAATAGTATAGATTCTAAACGTATAATTTACCTTAATTAAAAATGTCTCATTCTAAAATATCTATAATACTTAAATTAAATTGATTCAATTTATTAATTCAATTAAAATTCAAACATCACATCAAGGTTATATTGTAGGCACAAGTATTATACATGGGTCGCACTATATTTTGTGTTTTTACTTTCAAATAGAATAAAAAAATCGTATAAAGTTATCTAATAATAGTATTTTATTTTTTTATTTAAATGACACTCAAATTACATTAATATTGTCGACACTCGTTTTTTCGTCCCGCTATTATTATATTATTATTTTTATCATTATTGTTATTAATATTATTATTAATAAATACTTTGTTATTTTCTATAGGCTTGTACAAGCCCCAAGCCCAAAAACAGTCCGACCCAATTTTATAACCCAAACATTCAGCCCAACAAACCGAAGCCCAACTGAAGCAGGGCCTATTCTGGAGCCCAAACCAACTTAGGGTTTTATCATATTTCCACAGTCACCGCCAGAACCCAGACGTTGGATCTGGGATAGATCCAACGGTCTAGATCAACCCTCAGTTAGGGGTTACCCTTTGGTTCCATCCGTAACTCATCTCAGCAGTCGGATATGGACCCGTCCAACGGTCCAGATCGAGTAGATGCTGCCATCCGTTTTACTAACTCCTCAGCCACAATCACTACTGCTAATCCGAAGCCCTGCCGTGTCAAAAACTCAGATCAAATACACAAGCAATAAAACACCAGCACAACACGCAAATGATAATCATTTGAATTTGTAATCATTTCATTTCAGAATGGAAAAACAAGAAAAAATATGTAACTCGGGGCTTATATATACCCCGAACCAAATCTGTAACAGAGGTTCTGCCCCAACGATTTCTGAAAGCAATACAAAAGGAAAAAAAATTGAAACATTTGTAAGGTATTTTTTTATTTTCGTTTTTGTGTGTTCAAAATAAAAAAAATGGCAAAGCAATCGTCTTGCATGTAAAAACCGAGAGTAGAAGAGAGGGAATAGTTTACCTGAGTCGTGTGGGGGGAGTCTTCACGGCAGCCAGAGGCCCAAAAGTCGAACGGTCGGGGCTCGATTTGTGACTGTTTGGGGTCTTTTAGGTAGTTTTTAGGCTTTTATATTTGTCTAGGGTTGTAGATCTAGGCTTGGGATTATTTTGGGCTCAATTTGGGGATTTCAGCCACCGTGTGCGACGGCCAAGGTTGTTTGGGGCGGCTGGTAGTGGGTCGGTCGATGCTTTTGAGAGGAAAACAAAAGAAAAATATTTTTTTAAGAAACTCTGTTCAAATGAAAAAAAGGTAATTAAGTTGTATTTATAGGGTAAGTTAGGGGGAGATTGCTCTTAGGTCCCCCTAACTTATGCACATTTTTACAAAAATGTCACTGGTAAGGACCGTTTCCATATTTTTCCCATTTATGTTTATGCCTTAAAATATTTGGTGTAATTGTTGTTTGGTGCCCGACTTTTAGTGCGTTTTTGCATGTTAGTCACCTATAGGGACTGTTTTTTATGATTCACCAATTTTTATGCATGTTTAATATTTTAGGGTTATTTTCAATTTAGTCCCTGAATGTTCACTGTGTTTTGCATTTTAGTCATGTGTAGTGAATGTTTAAGTTTTTAAAAATATTTAGGGACTTATTTAGTAATTTACCCTTTTTATTTCAAATGTATATTTTAGGCTAAAATAAATGGAATATTTAGGAAATAGTCCCTTAAGTTTTTGTATGTGTATATTTCGAACC